CAGGAAATTGTTACTGAATATGTTAATGATGTAATGAAATGCTTCTTCTAAGTACGTGGTTATTAAATAAATAATTTATTTTTAAAAATGTTTTTGGAGACCTGATCTCACTATGTAGCCCCAGCTGGCCTGAAACTCAGAGAAATCCATCCACTTCTACCTCCCGAGTGCTGGGATTAAAGGTATATACCACCATGCCTGACTTCTTATCACTTTTATTGAGTCTGCTCTTTCATAATCTCCTACATATACAATATGCATTCTGATTATTGTAACACCCTCTTTAATCCAACTCCCACCTCTATTACACCCCTCCTCCCTACAAAACCCCTTCCCACATTCATGATTTTGTTGTTGCTGCTGTTTCTGTTTTGTTTTATTTGAGATCCAGGATCATGTGTGTGATCATGGGTTTGGAGTCTGATGGGCTCCCTCAGCTGGTACACAGCTGCCCCTCTCTTAATCCATCAGCAGCAAAAAGGGATGATAGCTTAGGTTAAGAAAGAAAAAAAAAGTCTCCATCATATCAGTTCAAGAAAAAGTCAAGGCAGTCATTCAGCCCAAGTTCTGCAGAGCTGAGTTAGGAACTAGGTCTTACCTCAGTTTCTCAGTTACAACGTCAGATAAATGAGCTGTAGCTCATTTAAGTTTCCCCAACTCTTCTTCCTGTTACTATTTTCTTATTACTAAAATATAAATGAAAGAGGCCTAGAGAGATGGTTCAACAGTTAAGAGCACTGGCTGCTCTTGCAGAAGACTGGGGTTTGGTTCCCAGAACCCACATGGTGGCTAACCATCCATAATTCCAGTTCCAGAGGATCTGACACCCTCTTCTGGCCTCCACTGGTATTGTATGACATTCTGTGAGTACACTTACATACATGCAGGCAATACATTCATACACATAAAATAAAAATAAATATTTAAAATAAATGAATAAAAATATAAGTGAAAGAACCTATGAAATATGGGGCTGGAAAGATGGCTCAGCAGTTAGGAGCTCATACTGCTTTTGCAAAGGACCTAAGTTCAGTTCCTAGCACCCATGTCAGGAGGCTCACAAGCACCTATAACTACTGCTCCAGGAGATCTGACACCTTCTTCTGGACTACTCAGGCATCTGCACTCACGTTACAAAGTCACATACACATACACACACACACACACACACACACATACACACAATTAAAAATAAATTAAAAAAAAAAAACTTCTAGCTGGGTGTGGTAGCATGAGTCTTTGATCCCAGCAATCAGGAGGCAGAGACAAGCAGATCTCTGTGAGTTTGAGGCCAGCCTGGTCTACAATAGCAAGTTCTAGCTAGGCCAGCTGGGGCTACAAGGTGACTCTGTCTCAAAAACAAAACAACACTCTTCTAAAATAAATAAAATATTAAAATTGATAGTATCGTACTTTGACAATAGTAAGTGCTGTGGTTTGAATGGCCCCCAAAGGCCCAAGTGTTAAAGGAGGTATACTAAGAGGTGGGGGTGCTTTTGAAAGATGGAGCCTGGCAAATGATCTTTAGGTCACTGGGAGTATGCCATTGAAGGTGCCTGTGTGACATGGCCCCTTCTTCTCATGCTTCCCCCTCATGAGATGGATGGTTTGTTCTGCCATGAATCCCTCCTCCATGATGTGCTGCCTCCTCACAGGCCCAAAGCAACAGGAACCACCATGGACTAGAACCTCTGAAAATGTGGGCCAAAATAAACCTTAGATTTTCATAAGTTTATTGTCTTGGGTATTTTATAAAAGTAATGGGAAGGTGACCAACATAGTAACATAAGGTATTTTATAAGTTAATCCTTAAAGAGTTGAGTTTACGTGGATTAATATAACCAAAAGCATGCTACACATTCTCATGAAAAAATATTTATATATGTTTTAATTTACTATTATTTTATGTGTATGAGTGTACTGTGTGCATGTATGTGAGTGCACCCATGTCGTGCAATGCCGCTGAGGTCAAAAGAAGGCTTTGGAGTCCCCTGGAACTGGAGTTAAGGATGGTTCCTAGCCGCTATGTGGGTGTTGAAAATCAAACCCAGGTCCTCTGCAAGAGCAGTCAGTGCTCTTAACCGCTGAGCCATCTCTCCAGCCCCATGAAAAAATACTTATAATAGTCGACATTTGCCTAAACTCCACATGCTAGATATCACTATGTAGCAACATTTACATGTATTAAAAAAAACCGCTCAAAACCCTAATACCTCATCTAATCGGTTACAATGGCTATTATCCAAAACCCAGAAAATAACAGTACTATCAAGAATGTTAGGAAACTGGAACTCTTGTGTACTGCTGATAAAAATGTGTAAATGGTACAGTCACTATGGGAAACATCTTTGTAATTCCTCAAATATTAGAATTACCACACAATCCAACAAATCCACTTATAGGTACATAACAAGAAATTGTGAAAGACTGGGTTATGTAGCTCAGTGATACAGCATGCATGTAGCAGGCTCAAGGGCTTGGGTTTCATTTTTTCAAAAACCTGAAAACAGGTACTCAAACAAGTATTTGTATTCCACTGTTCATAGCAACATTACTCACAACAGCCAAAAGTCAGAAACAACATAAAAGTCCATCAGCAGATGAATGAACTAAAAATAGTGTAGACATACAGTGTAATACATTGTCTTTTTTGTTATTATTCTTTTTATTTTATGTGTATGAGAATATTGCCTGCATGTGAGTACGTGGTCAGAAGATCAGAAGAGGGTATAGGCTTCCTTGGAACTGGAGTTACAGACGATTGTTAACCCCCATGTCGGTGCTGGAATCAAGCTTGGTCCTCGGCAAGAGATCTTAACTACTCAGCCATCTCTCCAGCCCCTGATTTAGTCTTAAATAGAATAAAATTCTGATGTATGCTTTGACATATGGCCACCTAAAAGCAGTGTACCAAGCAATATAAAACCAGATGCAGCCAGGTGTGCTGGCACACGCCTTTAATACCAGCACTTGGGAGGCAGAGGCAGGCAGATATTTGTGACTTCGAGGCCAGCCTGGTCTACATAGTGAGTTCAGGATAGCTGGGGCTACAAGGAGACCCTGTCTCAAAAAGACAAAAAAATTTTAAAAATAATAATGAAATAAAACAAAAGTTATTCTCTCCCTCTCCCTCTCCTGGTTCCCCTCCCCTCCCCCCTCCCC